TTGGGAATGGTACAAATGGAGACAGAACTAATTAGTATATCACCTCCCGTTATTCTGCCTGGCTTATAAGTACATTCTACAACTAGAAAATTTTTCACTCTGGATGTACTTACATTTCAATCTGAGCCATACAATTAAGAATACAAAGGGTACAACACAGTAAAAGAAACACCTAGAACTGCAGAAATAAAGGCTTGGTTTTAATACTTCCTCTATTGACCCATTCAGGGGGCAGAAAAGGAAAAGCTTGAAATTTAACTACCTAAAAGTAGTTAAGAAGAGACACAAAGCAAGCTCAGACCAGCAGCAGTGAAGAACAATGAAAAGGGTAGAAAGAAGTCAGTCCTTCATGCCTGGCAGATGAATTTACAGCTGAAAGAAGTTTTGGTGAAGTTTTTACCAACAGTAAGTACTCAAAAAATTCAGGTTCTAACCGTCCTTATCTCAGTCACCCAAGGAATTGCCCTCAGATGCAGTGACATATTTTGCACGAGTTGGTTTGCATGATCAAGAGAGGTACCAGTAATAATGATTTAAAAATTGAAAACACAGCTTATGCTGTCTCAGTATTGTAGCCATCCATACACTGTGAGTGATTTAGAGGGGTTTTTTTTCCAATTTACATAACAAACAACAAGAAATTTAAAAAAGATAAAAATTAGACTTAAAAATGAACCCAGTACACATGTTACTGCACCACTTCGTATGGTAGAAAAATCACACTCCCATCCCCTGAAGAAAGGGTTCAAGCCTTGCAACAACAGCATAAAAAGTACCAGACTGAAAGTCTGGAGCCGTAAAGACTGAGAAAAGTTCATGTATCTCAGCGTGGGAAGGATCCTCTCAGTGGAAGCAAGGATCTCTGTACAGGAGAGCTGACGTCAGTGGAAGTGGGAGGGAAATGGTGATGGGAGGTTTGTCAGGGAAATGATTGAGGACAGTTTCAGTGGGAACAGGGAGGATTCAAGAGAGGGTGGATGGCCTCAGTGGAAGCATGGACAGAAAGTGTGGGAGTATCTAAGGGAGGGAGCGCTCATGTGTTCCAAGGGAAAGGAATTACCAGACAGGGAGGAAAAGAGCAGACAGTTTAATGGACTAAACAACATGCTGTTAACTGCTGAAATGAGATCCACTTCAGCACTGCAGGTACCATATAGCACACAGCCTCTTATATGCAGAATTATGCAACCACTGGTTTGCAGTGACTGCAAAATTCACAGGCAATTTCACAAGGTTTGAATGCAGAAAACTTACTGGCTGTAGGGGCAGGGATTCAAACTGTCTGTCCCACATCAGCTGATAAATCAGAAGACTTTCACATTTAGTCCTTCTGGCTTTTAATTTAAAATAAAGGAAGTCTGGATTTACTCTCTGATCCCCTTGCACCCAAACACAAATATTTCTGTATTAAATGTACACGACAGGGAGAGTTACACAAAAAAAAAAGGAAGGAAATCTTACGTACGGAAAAGAATGACAGAGCAAAATCAAGGTGCAATCTATGTACTACAGTGTATATTAATGCACTGTAGAAGAGTGACACACGCACACGATGTTGGGATAGCAGATGATGATGAATACCCAAGACAATTTTAAATAAATGCCCATGAAGTACTTATGCCATTCAGCATTTACTCCACTTATGCTATAGATTAAACAATGATTATTCTAAAGGTGTTTAAGCAGGTTTCTGTAAAGCCAGCAACCTTTACCACAAATTCAACTATGCAAATGTCTGAAAATCATCATTAATATATACAAAAAAAAACCCTAATATTACAATTTTGAGCCTGCTTTCTTGAGATTTTTAAAGTTAAAATAAAAATCAGAGAAACTCTCCTTTGCAACAGTACTGGGTAAGCGTAATTTGATATTCTTTATGTAGCGCTGGATAATCAAACCTAGATTAAGTCCCTTCATCTAGGTTCTGCTCATCTTTCACTAGTACAGGGTTTAATCTGCAGAGTCAATACATCAAAAACTAAGGGAAGAGTTTTCATGGCTGGTTCATTGTTTAGATATGGCACTTATTCCAAGATGCTCATAAATTTTCAAAATAAAAGCCACATACGAAAATACTAATTAAGGAGGGAGATACAGGTGCCATGACTTAAAAGGGCTGCTCCGTTTCTCATGTACTATCACCATACTCACATACACCAGAAATAGGTATTATGGCATTTATCTCTGCATACACACATATTTTCGGGATTGTTCTGCAAATCTGGATGGATAAACTTAGGGTTTTCCATATTAGGAAAGAACAGGAAACTTTCTTAGCTACAGTTTATAAATTGATGCAAATCGCAAAATACAGTATGCTCACACTGCACATCCACAAAATGTTCCTCTGCTATTTTACCAGAAGAAAGATACAGTAAGACATAAACATAAAACCAGAATAAGTTGGGGGGTTAATTAGTAATATATATAAAGCCATTTTACAATTAGCATGGGGTTTTTTCTTTTTCTTACACTTTCTGACTTGAAAAATGTGCACTATAGCTAACAAACTGATTCAATAAAAATTATTGCACTATTATACATGTTTTAATAAACTTAACACTAATGCCAGCCAAAGTGAAAATATGAGATTTACGCATAGGCCAAGTTTTGTTCTTAGCTCTAACACAGCATTCTCTTGGCTTTAACCTGTACATATGTAACAATTTAATTTAAAGTACCTGAAACCAAGTGAAAATGTCATTCAGGACTATTCACACAAATTCTGGGTGACACCACCACTGCCCAAAGCACAAAACGTTTGTAGCGTGCTGTGTTTGTTTGAAGGGATCCCTGGGGCCATAAAGGGTGTAGTGCACACTCTGAAGAATAGCAGTGGTTCTTAGTAACACCCCAATTCTTACAGTTCTTTCTCAAATCAAAAATCCTTTCAGTTACAAAACAGACAAAACATCCTGCCCAATGCTCCTTTTGGCTTCAGGAATTTCAGACTCCTGTCCATTATTTTCAACGTTCTCACACTATTTCTTTGTAAACAACTTCACCGTACTGTGAAAACTGCTCTCCAGCGATCCCTCACTCCAGCACAATCTCCGAGATAACGGTTATCTGGCACACTAAGAACTGCAAATCTGATCGCACTGTACACACTAACGATAAAAGCAGAGAATGAAATACCACGATGCTTTACAGCTCTAGAGAGTATTACAGGATTTTGCACATGAAAATAATGCAGATGTGACGTGTCCAACAGATTTTGCATTCAGCTGATTGCAAACAGAACTCCGCTCTCATTCCTCAAAACCCATCTTTCACAGCACTGTGCTTAGAGTGATGACAAGGGCAGAAAATGGGATCGAGCGATAAAAACCTGAGTGACTGCCAATGAGATGACAGCATGCATATGAACCAACAGCAACCCTATAGCGTCTGGCTGAATTATCCAAACCTAATAACAAGAATTTGCACAAAGTTCTTGAAACTGAACAACAAAATTCAACAAAATTAAGACTGCTTCCCACACGTGCTTCTGGAGACAGGATTTTAGGAGGGGGTTTTCCCTGTAAGCAAGCACACAGGAGACATTCACAGAATACAAATTTTAAGACTATTTTTGGTTTAGATTTTGCTAACATACAATTATAATCACTATTAAAAATTCAGGTAACAAGACAATTGTCTGGATTGTGATGAAAACTTAAGCTTCCTTAGTGTGGTTACTGTGTTAAATAAGACGTAAGCATGTCTATCGCGTGTGAATAAGGCCGTAAAGTTCATTTCCTGTACACAAAAAATTTAGTTTAATACAACACCATTCAGCTTCACATTCTGTTAGTTAATTGTTAATTCCTCCTCCAACTCGCTACTTACAAAGTGTCTGGTAATTTTCTAGACTTTTTTAAAACTCTTATGAACAGAGGTTACTAAATCTGAAGGAAAACAACTGAGGAAAATCACTCACATAACTGAAGTTAATTATTCCAGGTCAATACTCTAGAAGCCATGCAAGTAAAAATCCTAAGAAAACTACTAATCATTCGAGTTTCTGCTAATCTGCAAGACGCTTGATATTCAGCTAGATCTTGCCTGCATCTCAAGCATGTATCTTATATTTACAGCATGTGTATCTCAGTTCTTATCACAGAACAAGAACAGATCAGCCATGTTATACAATACCCCCTGGGCTGCTACAATTTGATTTTTCTTACACTTGCAATTACTTATTTTTGCAAAATAAAAATAGTTTCCCCAAGAAAAGCAAAGGCATAATCCAAACCTATAGCATTAGGAACCAAAGTACAACCCACAAACAAACAGCCCATCCATAGAAAGTAAACAAGCGACCGCACCACAAACTGTCTCACTTTAAAGAAAATAATCACAAATTACAATTTTTTTTCAGTATGTGTCTCTCGACTTCATACAGTCTTGTGGTGTATCTCTACTCAAAAGTATGGGCCCTAACACACGTAAAAAACCCTACAAAAATACCCTATTTGCAGCTACAGACAAGGTCAACAAGTTGTTAATGTAAATCAGTACCCAGAGCAAAACACGCTGCCGCTCTCCCTTCAACTTTCTGAATGGAAGAGGTACGCAAACTGATCAGCCCAGCAAGCAGATCGCTTCAGTCTGCGATCTGCCCATGCTTCCAAACAAGACAAGCACAAACAGGACCGAGGGACGACCCAGCACACACACATGAGTTAGGGCAGCTCCCCTGCACGGCGGAGTCCCACCAGGACGGACGGGCCCCTCCAGGTTCAGAAGCAAGACCCGTGCCCCGGCTCCAACGACCGACGAGGTCAATTACACCGCTCTCCGTTCCGGAATTAGGAAAACACATTTTGCGGAACGAAGAAAGAGACTTGGGTACCTCTATAAAGTCTTCAAGACACTGATTAGTTTATAAACGAAAGTAACAGCTCAAGCCAGGAAAAGCTCCCCCACAAAGGCAGGGAGACTCCTTGGGTTAAACCGCTACAGCCAACTCCGGTTCTGAGAGAAACAGTGCTCATGTTTAGCACCCTTTTTACCTTAACACTGGATCTGCCGGTCTGGGCCTCTGCCTCCATGCTCTGGCTGTTCTCCCTCTTGTCTTTCTTAGAGGAATTAGTCCTCGCCTCATAAGTGGATGTGTTGTAGCATTTAATGAATAATCCTGGGACGGGGTTGCCTTGCTGCTGTTGAGACATGGTTGTGTTGGTCTGGTGAGGGAAATTGCACTCCTCAGACTCATTGCTACTGTGACAGATCACTCTGCTGTCAGAGAGGTTGGTGCTTGGAACACAGCCCATGCTTTGTGGCCACCTGGGGAATACTTCTAAATTGTATATATATACGTGTATATATATATATATATATATTTCTTTCCTTCCCGTTGATATTTTCCCCCTGCTTAATTTTTTTGTTAACAGGTTGAATCTCTTTCCTGCGTCTCAAATACACTCTGAAGCATTGCCATCGGTCCCTTCTATACCACCAGAAACGTGTCTGTTCTCCTCGTCCTCCAGGAAACAGGTCCTTTTATCTCAATCTCAGCAGTGGGCTGGGGAGCTGGAGGGGAGGGAAGGGGGGAAATCAAGAACCGGTCGACTTCGTATTTTCACAGATTATTATTAATTTGTCTAAGCCATCTGAGAATCTTGGTAAGATTTTCTTTCCTTCTGGGAAAAGAAAAAAAAAAAAAAAGAGGGGGGGAAGCAAAATCAAAAATAAATAAAAAAAAAAAAAATCCCAAGCCCCAAACCGCACACACCCCGGCGTCGGCTCGGCGCTCAGAAGGGCCGGGGGCACAGCACCATCTCCTCCCCCGAGCCCGGAGCACGGCGCATTTTCCACCCGGGCTTGCTCCGCGTTACCGATTAACCCGGGACCGGGCCGGGGGCCGCTCCCCACCTCCGCGTCCGCGCTCCCGCCGAGCAGCGCTCACTCCTCGCGGTCCAGCCCGGCGCTGCGCTGTGCCGGGGGCGTGCTTTGGGGTGTGCTTTGGGGGCCAAAATCAACGGTTTATTAAAAAATAACAACAACAACACGGACCGAAAGCCGCCCGGCCGCCCCGGGGAGCCGGCTGCGCTCCTCACGCCGCGCTGGGCACGTCCCGCGCCGCCTCGGTCGCGGGCGGGCGGGCGGCCGCCGCGGGGGTGACATTCAGGATCCCGTCGTCGGAAGGAAGGAAGAGCCCCCCGTCAGGCGGCAGCGGGGCTCTCCGGCCGCCGCAGCGGCATCCCGGCTCAGTGCCGCGGGGCAGGGGCGGGCCGGGCCGCGGGGAGCCCCCTCGGGAAAGCGGGGCACGGCCCGGAGGGCTTCCCTGAGCCGCGGGGGCAGCCGGCGCGGCGGGCGGAGGCATCAAAGGGCCTCCATGATGCGGTCGGTTTTTTGGGCAGAGAAGTGATGCGAAACGGCGAGGGGGTGAAAAATCAAAAATTAAAAAAAAAAAGGAGAAGGAAAAATTAAAAAGAGCGAGAAGTGAAGGAAAACGATCCTAGCGTCCCATCCCGGCGGCAAGGGCTGCAGCGGCGAGAGCTCTGGTTCCCGGGGCCGTGGTGTCTGCATCCCTCAGCAGGGAAATGCCTGGCTCCCCGCAGCCGCCGTCCCTCGCTCCGCGCTCACCTTGTTATTATTGATGTTCCTCGGCGGCCGCGGCGGCGGCGGCCGCGGCCCCTCCGCCGCCCCGCCCTCCCCGCCCCGCCCCGCGGCTCCCCCCGCGCTGCCCCGGCAGCTCGGCCGCGGCGGAGCCGGCGCAGCGCCCGGCGCGCTGACCTCCGGCCCGCGCTGGCGTCAGTGAGAGCGGCGGCCGCGGCCAATGCGGGACCGCCCGCGCCCCGCCCGCGCCGGCCCCGCACACCGCGTGCGACCGCACCGGCCCGCAGCGCTCAGGGCGCGCGGTGACCCCGGCGCGCTGCCCCGTGAGACACCGGGCTCCCTCCTTCGGGAGCAGGACAGCCGGACGGAGCGCCGAGTCTGTTGTTGCTTCCCATCGTTTTCCTTTCCGAATCTGCCCGTGCCAATTTCTTTGAGAATGTTTTTTTGAAAGCAAAGCCTTGTGAAAAGGGAAGATGGTGCTATGGGTGGAGCCAGGCCCTGGGGCTTGGGAAATTAACTGCAGGCAGACTTTTTCCTGGAATATGTATGTGAAATAAACCTTTTCTGTTTCTATATCGTTTCGAAGCAGCTATATTTCCTTATCATATAGATGTGCTGGGAGACTATATGTCTGTACGTACTTTAAGAGAGAAAACGCAGTATTTAAAGCCCTTTAAATGCCCAGGGCAAGGCGAGTTACTACTACAGACAATACGTGTTCCAGAAGTACCAGCTCAAGTGCAGCCCAGGTTCCACGACAGACATATGACACCGTACTCTACCACAGACCACACACAACCTGATGAGCTCCTAAGAGCCCTGTGTTCCACATGTGCCTTTCACTTTCTTCACTATGTCATCTGTAGCTTCTGCTACCTTTATTCTCAATGACTCACAGAGGTGCTTCTCCAAGGTCCTGCCTGTTTTCACTAGCTCAGGAACAGCTCAGGGACAACAGGAGTTTAGGGAAGGCCCAACCAAACTTTAGATTTAGGAACATGGTTAAACCCAAATATCAAAGACATGACTTTTGTCAATAAGCTCCAGCATCTCAGGAGGGGAAAATGATGTATCACAGGAGGAAACTAAATTACTCCAGTTTTGTGCCATGATCACCTCTGTACTCCCCTGTCAGAATCAGTGTGTTTCAGAAGCCGATTCAGCATGAGTACTTCTGTGCATTCCGAACAGCCAGACTTTGAACAGTACCTCAACTACATGACAAGTGCCATCAGGTCATAATTAAAAGCAAAACATGCAGATAAATAATGACTATTGACAGCAAGAATGGCAAGAAGCTCTTCATTCATGTATGTAACAACATCACTTGATGCAGATTAGAGCACCTTATAAGGCTGAGAGATGCAAAGCCAGAAGTCGGTGCTTTTGAGAAATGTGGTTTTTCAGGATAACCACAGTACTTGCACTGTCAAAGTGCTTTTATTTACTTCTCATAATTGCCAGCATTAAAGGCTGGAAAATCGAGTCTTTCCTTTCCCGATGTTTCTGCTACTGTGCAGTTTCAAGTATAAGCAATAGTCACATAAACTTCATCCACCCCATTAATTTAGCTGATCTATACAGCCTGTTAGAACCAGAAAAAGACATTGGCTTCCTGTGCTCTCTCATCACTTTGGACACCCACTTAATATAAGCACTTAACAATAAATGAAGGGAAAGGCTTAACATATCCATTTGAAACAGTGGGCACTGTTTGGAGCGACATCTTGTCCTCATTCTTTCCTTTATGTTAAACATTATTTACTAGATCCCATTAATAAGAACACACTTAAGTGCAGCTAGAAAAAGGCTGCGTAAGAACAGAATGCTGCAATTCCTACTTGTGCCATTAACCACAAGTGTGGGCTCTCTTCTTCAGCCTTAATGGATCTGTCAGCGAAACTGCTATTGCGCTTTATTTCTGGTGGCACTGGAGGAGTTAAGAGACAGCAAAACTTCATTTTCAGAGCTCCACATTCAGTTTGCAGTGCTGACACCTAGAGTTAAGCTTTCTACTCTGTAAAATAAATGGGTTTGGTTTGCAGGTACACAAAGACGAAATGTACAATTCATGGTGTCATTTCAAAAAATACCAGTATCGGGAACATCCCTGCTTTCCACTTTGAAGGCAAACAAATTCCCACTCAACTAATACCTCCATTTATGCAAATGATAGGCAAATACTGGGGGGTGGGGAAGGGAGGGAGGGGGCACAGGGCATGCTTTGTTTAATATCAGCATGATAAAACAAGAAAGTGTATATGCAAACATCATGTGCATGACCCCTTTGCTCCTTTTTCAGAAGTTTTTCCACAAGTATCCCTTGGCAGATTATTACTGATTATTTCTACAGCCTAATTTCAAGAGAAAAAAAAAGTCCCCATTTGCAAGATTTTCGTATGAGAACTCACACTGCCTTGAATGGGAGAATGAGATGAGCCTGAATAATCCCTTAGTAGTTTAATAAAAGCCATTGAGAAATCACTGGAGTTGTTGTTACACTGAAAAAAATTCAATAAAGACAGAAATTGCTATTTGAACAAGATGCTGGCACAGGCATTGTCTTGCTTCTCTACACTTTGAAAACACTGGTGCTATTTTTATTGCCAATAGAAAAATACAGTTGAAAGTATAGATTTACCCAAAGACTAGAATCAGAAAGAAGGGGTGAAAACATTGAAATTGTTGCCAATGGTAGTGATTTGTCACTATACTGTATGAACTCTGTGGATAAAAGGCCTTGCTCAAGCTTATTGCTGAAGAGCAGCTCAGGAAATGGTGGGCACTATTATTCAAAAAAAATTAAATCATGCAAAAGAGCAGAGGAAGAATAGGAGTGTAGACACTGGCAGATTAGGGCTGTGGGGGAAGTGTAATGTCAGCACAGAGTCAATGAGGGAGAGGTCAGAAGAGAACTAGTTCTAGGAGACAGCTGGGGAATGAGAAAGTTCATTTATGGAGAATAAGGTTGAATTTCATTCAGGATTGCAGAATAAGAAATAATGCTAGGAAAGAGCTTGGAATGATTCCTATCAGCTTGATCTGCAGACAAATGGGTGCTGGGGAAGATCAAAGTATTTAGAGAAGAAATACATGAGCTTCAAAATTTAAAAGGATCAAAAATTACACTATTCAGCCACATCCCCATCCATCTCACAAAGAAATTACATTGGATCCTGAATTTTTTGACAAAAGACTGAACAACGCACTGTACCCCAGATCTTCACCACTACTCCCCATGTCTGCTATCCCCCCGCAAACTTCCATAAGCAAAAGCACTTCCCTTGATGTATCAGCAGTATCCATCCATTTCCCACAGACCTTGACCAATTCCCATTGCACATTATAGAAGTTTGTGCATGAGCACTGGGACAGTTCACTCCTGTCAAGCTACACAAAAATGCATATGAAGGTCTAGAGCAAAAGTTAGTTGCCAAAATCCAGTTCTGATAATATTTCAGTACCCAAGACAATGACAGGCAGAATTATGCAGAAGAAATGATGGACTAACATCTACACGAACAACAAATATCAGTGCGCTTTAAAAAATGTTTGTCCAGCAGTGGCAGAGCAAGCATGACTGCAGTCCTGTGAGCACAGGCAGCAATCTTGATGTGAGATTACTCTATGTTGTTTTAATTGCTTCTTCCCCCAAGTCAGCTACATGTTCCAATTGTGTCTTTTGGCCTTATGAAAAGTTAAGCAATCCTGCTGGTCTCTAGGCCAGTGAAGGAGGCAGTGGGGAGGAGGAGAAGGAGGAACTGTGGAAAATGTGCCAGCACACAAACAGCTGAATGGACTCTACACTGCTAACTACTGACACGTGCAAGCTGTGACAGAGTACGTCTCTCCAGCCCAAGATATTCCAGAAGACAAAACAAGGACCATATGCTGCCTCAGCCACAAGTGAGTATCAGCATTACACCCCACAAGCAGGCCAGGGTACTTCTGCTTGTTTGTGTATAAGCATCAGTATCCTGGAACAGTCATTTTCAGGTGACGTGAGACAAGTGTAAAATTTGTCCTGAGAGAGCTCATCCCCAACTCCTGGAATGTACAAAAGTACAATGGGTTTGTTTTCTACACCACTCCCCTGATGTCCTGAAAAACCTCAAAGCAGCTGACGGAAGGGCTGCTCTGATGGCCTGGCAGGCTGTCGAGTTTGCTGTTGTTGTGTAATTGCAATTGCAGAACACAGACAGTTGTCTGTACCACTTGGAAATCAGAGCCTTCAAGGCAGTCTAAGTCAGCAACTTTTTCAACTCTAGCACCAAAGATGTCCAAGTCTAAAGCTCAGATACTTCATGTACATACAAGCGTCATCACTGTAACTGGTGTCAGAACAGCTTTTGCAGCTGTAGTTTACCCATCACAGTCACTGCTGCTCAGTGGTCAGCAGGACAGGCACTTTTTCTAGGACAAAAATGTACCCCCCTTCTCCGCTCTGCCTTCTCTCCACTTTGATTACCTTCTTTGCTGTCCCACATTGTGGCAGTAGTTTTCCTAGCCCCATCCTATGCTAAAGATTTGTTTCCCTTTCTGGTATTTCTTAGTCTCTCCTTCTTCTTTCTACTTTCCCCTCAGATCCTTCTGTTTCCTCCTCTAAGTACCCCTTTTGTCATCTGCTTTCTTTTGCCATTTCCACCCCGTAAGATCAAAATCCTTTGCCCAACCCCAAAGTAATTCTCATCTCTATGATCTCCCAAAAGCTCAGTCAAAGCCCTTAAAACTCCCACAAAAGCCCCCCCCCATTTTTTCTGGTTTCACAACTGTCCATCTGTCCAATGCTTCTCAAGTATCCTTCAGCTTTATACTTTCTCTTTTTTGCTTTTTGTAGGCTCTCCCCAAATTGCCCAAAAATTTGTGGGGAAGGGAGGAACAAAGCACTGTTGTCCCCACCCACTCCCCTATAATTATCCTGTGCTTCACAAGCAGTATTATCTGTCTGGATACACAGCGCCATGCAGCCAGCTGTGACCATAGAGAATTAGCTGTTCCTCTGTTGGA